AAACATGGAGGGATGCCTCAAACCTGATTGTTCACCAGCTGGAATCCTTCATTATTCTGCCTCATGTTCTCTGAGGGTCTAAGATTGCCCTTTATCTGGTCTCCACCCTCTCTTCCATTTTTTTAGGGCATGGGTGTCACTGCAGATTCAAACCTTTATGCTTTATCAGTGCAACATAAGGGAAAATGACAGTAATATGTACATCTTTCAGTCAGAAGAAGCTAAAATGTCTAAATATTACTCATTTTTCTCCAGCTGACTTCAAATTCAGAGGTGCATATGTTTCATAGTATGTTAAGGGGTTGGAATGGACCTTAGAGATCATCCTCCCTGGGCAACCTGTGGCAGTGTCTCACCACCCTCACAGGAAAAAACTTCTTCCTAGTGTGTTGACCTGCTCTGTGTTCTCAAACAAGGCAGTTGGCAACGTGCTTGTAGATCATATGCAGGATATGTAAAGAGGGCTTAAATAACTCTACTGATCTTTATTTCTGCTAAAATATATGAGTTAATATTTGAACATCTGCAGTCGCACGTTCTAATGTGTTAGCAGAGACCCAGTGAGCACATCTCGTGTTTGATCATGATAATAATATTCACTGTAGTTAATTCTGCCTGGACAGAAAAGCTGTAAGACTTTGACAATGATCATCCTCAGTGACCTTTTTGCTGTTGCACTGCTGCAGTCTTGCTCTGGTATTCCTGAGGATCCTTTGGGGGTAGCACTGCTCATGGTCCAGTGCTATGTGAGACATGAGAGTGTGGCAGAGCTGGAGCTGTGCCTCGATCAGTGAGGTCACCCTGTCCCTTCCAAAATCACCTCCTTTAATAGAACCTTCCTTGATTATTTGTTGTTCCATCCCTGGGAGTGTTCCAGGCCAGGTTGGATGGGGCTTGGAGCAGCCTGGGCTGGTGGAAGATGTCCCTGCCCATGACAGGGAGTTGGAACCAGATGGTCTTTAAGGTCCTTCCAGCCCAACCCATTCTGTGTTGCCATGATGTGTTCTCCTGCCCATTTGTTCATGCACTGGGCTCCTGAGAGCTTTCATTTCATGGAATCATTAGGTTTGGAAAAAACCTCTAAAATCATCAAATCCAACCATTCCTAGCACTGCCAAAGCCACACTGACCATGTCCCCAAGTGCCACATCCTCACACCTGTTAAATCCCTCCAGAGATGTGACTCCAGCACTGCCCTGGGCAGCTGTGCCAGGGCTGGACAACCCTTTCCATGAAAAAGTATTCCCTAATATCCAATCTAAGCTTCCCTGACACAATTTGTGGCCATTTCCTCTTGTCCTGTCACTTGTACAATGTATTAGGTTGGTATATAGTGGACTAGACTCTCACTGTGGTTTGCAGCATCTGCAGCACTAATTTACTCTAGTTACAATTTTATCTCATTTTTTAAAGTAACAAGAAATGAGATTAATTACTTATACGTGTTTAAGCTCTAACCAAAGTTTGTATCTGATAGGGATTTCTTCAGAAGACTGTGATGAGGAATTAATTCATGTTCAGAAGGTTCAGCAAAAGGAAATTGCATAAATCTGAGCATTAGGTTTTTTGAACCCTTTTAAACACCTTTTTTTTTTGTTGGAAGATCTTCATCCAAGCCTGTCAAGTAGTTAAAAGTGTTTCCTAAATGTTTCTTATTCTGTTTCACACATGCTTCAAGATGAGAACTCTGAGAGGTTTCTCTTCTGATGACAGAGAAGGAAAAGCCTTTTATGATGGAAATATTTGTGAGCAGGAGCAATTGTTTTTCCTAATGAACATCATTTCTCTCCAGCTCATCCTCCCTGTGCTGCAGCTGTAATTGTAATTATTTTCACTCACTGCTTGCCCACAAGTCCAGACATTACTTTGAAATAATTCCTTAATGCTGCTATAAAATACTCCAAATGACTTTCTCTGCCTGCTTGGGTGGAAGGCACAGGATGGGGGAGAAGCAGCAGATTCAGAAACGAAAAAGTTAACTGACAGTGGCTACAAGAAACAAAGGAAGAGGCAAATTTGCTAGAGGGAATAGAGCAAGATATTGCAAAGCAAATAAGTGAACTAATCCGATTTCCTGGCGCTGAGGCTGAGCACTTGTGCCCAGGCTGAGCACACTCTGTGCTTTTCATAAATTGAATTTATTGACTCCTCTTTCTTCCCTATCTTGCTTATAATTATCTCCCTCTCTCTTCTGTGTGCTCCTTATTTCTCATCCTGTCTGTAATCTCATGTCTCTATCTGTCCTTTTCTCCCCTTCTTAGAAAAGCCCAGAGAGCTGTTAATTCACAGGAGTTTGACACATTGTCGTATCTTCCCTTGAAATCTCTTCCCAAAGTCAGGAGAAGCCAGAGAGAGAAATTAAACTCTATTATTAATGTTTGCATTTTATTAGAACAGTAATGGAGAGAAAAAACTTCCCTAATGGAGCCATTAAGGGGAAGATAGCAGGATTGCTGGGGCTGGAGGTGCTGGTGCTGCCTGGAATTCAGTGTTGCTTTGCTCTCAGATATGAAGTTCATTTGGGTAGGGATATTGTCACTTGTCTTCCTTTGGGGTGGGTTAGAAGATGTAGGAGCAGAAAGATTGTTTGGGGCACAGAGGGGATGGAAATGCAGCAACTTGTTTCTCTGGTGACCACATGAAGCCACGTGAGGAGCAGCTGAGGTCACTTGGCTTGTTCAGCCTGGAGAAGAGGAGACTGAGGGGAAACCTCAGCTCAGTCTGCAGCTTCTGCACGAGGGGCAGTGCAGGGACAGCTCTGAGCTCTGCTCTGTGGGACCAGTGACAGGAGCTGAGGGAATGGTTGGAGCTGTGTCAGGGGAGGGTTAGGTTGGATATCAGGACAAGGTTCTTCCCCCAGAGGTGTTTGGGCACTGAACAGCTCCCAGGGCAGTGGGCACAGCCCCAAGGCTGACAGAGCTCCAGGAGTGTTTGGCCAATGCTCTCAGGCACAGGGTGGAGTGTTGGGGTGTCTGTGCAGGGACAGGAGTTGGATCAATGATCCTTGTGGGTCCCTTCCAGCTCAGGATATTCTGTGATTCCAAAATTGGATGTGGCATTTATTTGTGCTGCTGCTGAAGTATCTCCAGCCAAACCAGTCACTAATATGAACCATCCAGTGGTATTTTATTCCACTCTTCCAACCACTGATATGGACAATGTGGCTGTTAAAATACCCATGTTGGTGATGTTTGACATTTTCTCCCTACCCTGTGCTGCAAGAAATCCTAATTCTTAGATAAAACCACAACTAGTCTCTGGTTGAGTGGATCTGTGCATTAATTTTCTAGTAAACTGTGGAATTTCAGAGGTTTGCAAGGCAGGTAAGATTGAAAAAGACTTCAAAGAATGGTCCCAACAGCTGCTGGTGCCTGACACAAAAATCATCCTGCAGCCTTGGAACCACTGCTTTAATGGGGAGTCCTTAATCAGTCATCCTAATGAGCATAAACCAGGACTTTAGCCTCATCCTCCAGGATTTTAGCCTCAGCCTCCAGAATTTTAGCCTCAGCCTCCAGGAGTTCTACTAGTCCAAGAGATAAATATGTGAAGTTAGTGTAGCTGGAAACTGTGAATTGAGATGCAACAAAAAGGCTTTTTTTTTTATGGCCACCATTTCCCACTGCCATAATTGAAGGAAGTTTATTATGGAAGAGTCAAAACAAGGTTCCCTCCATGATGTTAGGAAGAAACACCAGGGAAATATTTTCAGTACCCTAATTTATTAGGTGATGTTAAATGACAAAAGTCAGTGTAGAACACTAACCCCCCCCCAAATGCAGGTAAAGCCCTGGTACTTTCCCATTTGTCTGAAGATGCAATTTTGTGGGCAGAAATATGTGTATGATGAACAACTAGCTGAGATTTCCTTCCTTAGGCCACGAAACAAAAGCAGCACAATTTTTCTCAGCTCCCTTGAGAATTTCCTACATTCGCTTATGCAGTGTTAAATGGATGTATTCAGCCCAACAGTGGCTTCAAGCAAGTTTCTGTAGTCCCACAGCAAAAACAAAGCTTCCAGGTGAAGGAACCTTCCTTGGCTTTGTGGAAATCTCCAGGCAGATGTCATCAGGCTGAGATTGGAGGCTTTGGTAGCTAATCAAACTTGCCCATATTTAGGTTTGTAACAACACCCAGGGAGCATAAATCTTCCTCAGATGATTTTGTCAGCCTTCTCCACTGTGGGTTCTGGAGGGTGTTTGTGATCACAGGGACATTTACCAGCTGTTCATGTGAACACCCTCCTGCTCCTCAGGAGAATCTTACAGCCAGAAAGTTGTTAAGGTTGGAAAATACCTCGAAGATTGTCAAGTCCAACCCTTCCCCAGCACTGCCAAGTCCAACCCAAACCATTCCATGATGGTTTTGCAAGGCTTTGCAGGCAGGTGAGACTGGTTCAGAGGATGATCCCAACAGCTGCTGGTGCCTGACACAAACATCATCCTGCAGCCTTGGAACCACTGCTTTAATGGGGAGTCCTTAATCAGTCATGACTTCTAGTGAAGCCCAAGGTCAGTGCAGCATGTTCAGACTGTTGAGACTTTGATTATGACTCAGGAGCCAGGAAAGGAGCAGGTGGGGAGATCCTCAGTGTTGGATGACTTCAGGATCTGTTTCCTCAAGGCTGCAATGGCTGGGAATAGGATTTATCCTACTGTAAGGTCAGACCTTTTAATTTCCTTTCAATAGAGCCATGATAGCAGGAGGATGGATGAAAAGGGATCATGACTGTGGCTCTTCAGGCCTCCAGGTCACTGCCTCGAGTCCTCACATAGCTTCATTCTGCTCCTGTCACTTGTCTCTGTCATGTTGTGTTTGTCACTGGATTTTGTTCTGTATTTTGATTTTTAAAATGGCAAATCCCAGGAAGGAATTGTAGCCAGACTTCAGGGAGTGTCTGGAGTAGCTTGGAGTTACTGAAACGTGTGTTTCTCCCTGTGTCTTCCCCTCCCCTGTGCCCATTTCTGCAGCAGAGCATGCTCGGCAGAGGAGGATAAAGGCAATGTCCAAATCAAGCACAAGACCATCAACTAATTCCAGCAGAAGAGCTTTTTTCTTCCCCCCAAGAATGATATGACAGCCCATTTGCAGGGCAGGCCAATAAAGAGAAGACCTGGAAGAGCCATTTCAAGGGCAGCAACCATCCCAGCTCAATCAGTGTGACCATTTGAAAAGCCAAGACCTGGATCTTATTACTTCGGAAATGGCACATCGGAGGTACTGAGCGAAACCCTCTTATTGGTGATTGAAGGAAGGGAAAGAAAAGAACCTTTCACTGACCTTAGAAAGGGGAAATATCCTTCAAATGCTGCTATTTCTTTGTAGAATCTCCTCAAAAATGTCTCTCTGTCAAAGGCACAGGTATGTACCACGTGTTCCTCCGGGAGCAGAGCGGACGCTGCTCCTCACTCCGCAGCTCCTTCCTTGCTCCTGGGAGAGTTTCCCTTGCAGTGTCTAATTGTAAACCATGTTTTAACTTATTTCCCAAATGATGTAACTTAATGAAGTCTCTCTCCAGGCCTTCTGCTGGAATGATGTTAATGATCCAACACTTAAGATGTAACATGGCCTTTATTTACGGGAAACGATTCTGTTGTGCTCCTCACTCGTCTCAAGTACTGACGAATATGCCTCGCTCTGTACCAACAATAAATCTATTTTATGCACAAGATTGATGTTGCAGTCTGTCTCTCTTCCCACTTCTTGGAGGCTGATGGTGTTCCCTCTGCTGTGTCAATCATGTTCTCCAGCAGATGTTACTGCTGAAGCTTTAAAGCACAGACTTTTGTGGACAGCCAGCCTTGCTCTCAGGGTCTGTACTTACCTCCAACTGTTTTCCAGCACAGCAACCTCAGAGGTTCCCATGTGATGTGCTCTGATTCCTGCACCACCACTTCCTTTCTTGGAGAGCACTTGGGAATGGAGCAGCACAACCTCTTGTTGCCCAGAGAGGTTGTGGCTGCTCCAGCCCTGGGAGTGTCCCAGGCCAGGTTGGATGGGGCTGGGAGCAGCCTGGGCTGGTGGGAGGTGTCCCTGCCCAGGGCAGGGGGTGGAACTAAACGGGCTTTAAGGTCTCTTCCAACCCAAACCATTGTGGGATATATGAAAGGGCAAACAGCCCCCAAAAAGTAATGATGTGACATAAATGAGCAACATGCCTAGAGCTTTTCTGCTGATTATTTACCTGTTCTGCTGCTCTAATTGGCTGCATTGGAAGCACATCCTACTGAACAACTGTGAGTGCACCTGTGGATCTTATTTATTATTCATCCAAAATATTACCAGTGACTCTCCTAATTATCCAGATGCTTTGTGAGTACTGTTTAATTAAGGCTTAATTTTTATTTTTTGTGTGCTACAAAAAGAAGCTTTTGGGGCCTTTTTTTTCCCCACACAAAGCAACTGTAATGTCACTAGGAGAGGAGGATCCTGGAGCTCAGCATCAGGTGCTGAGAGAAGTAATAGGGACACCAGCAACATGTTTACACGGTGACTTGCTATAGTGTTTACAAATCAGCTAACGCACAAATTCTTCTCTGTAATGTTCTCTTTTGTAACAGAGAGCCAAGAAGTTGGCAGATCCATCCTTGCCAGACTTTGAGTTGGCAGCCAAGCGCAGCATAGAGGAAAAGCAGACGTTTTTCAGGCCAGATGATTCTGTACAGCCAGGAGAGAGGAGCTGTGTCGGGAAGGAAGGTCTCTGTTCCTGCCAAATGTTCCTTGGGTTCCCATCCTGACAGCCTTGAGCAATGGGAGTCAGTCTTGCCTGCTTTGTTCCGACTGTGTCTCAGACATTGTTGGAGGTGTTGTGTGCTTTGAACATCTCTGTATCAGCAGGATGACATGTGTGGCTGCAGCTTGGGGGATGCTGATGGTGACAAACTGGGTGGGGATGTTAAAACCCTCCTTCTTGTGGACAACTTTGTACTTTAAAGCAGAACTGCAGTTCTGGGCCCTTCAAGGAAGACATTGAGGTTCTGGAGTGTGTCCAGGGAAGGGCAGTGGAGATGGTGAGGGGTCTGGAGAGTGAGTCAATGAGGAGAGGCTGAGGGAGCTTGTGGGAGCTCAACCTGGGGAAAAGGAGGCTCAGGAGAGACTTTATTGCTCTCTACATCTCCCTGATAGGAAGTTGTAGCCAGTTGGGAACACCTGAACTCATCTCAGTGGATCCTGATCTCAGAAGGGCTGATGAGTGACATCTCCAGGGATGGCAGATGAAGGTGTGACACTCCTTTGCCCGTGGCAGAGTATTCTCTGGGTGCATTCAGGTGTTCTCCATGGTGGTTCCCAAGCTCTGATCAGCTGTAACCACAGGGCAGTGTTACCCAGGGCTTTAAATGCGAAATGCAGGATTGTAACAGCTGAATCAAAGCCTTTCATTGTTCTTTGCTCAGTGGCTGTGGAACAAATCACACATCTCTCAATGGTGTCAAAATAATCACAGCTCTCCCACTGGTGTAATTTAGCAGTGTGAGACTCTTTGAAGCTCTAGACTTTCTTTCCTCAGCAGCTCTGTGTGTCTGAGACAGATCACACCACCTTGCAGAGAGGGTTTGGGGTTTTGCATCCTGTCCCTGCAGTGCAGTTTTAAGCAATAGTTGGAATTAGCTTTAATGTGGAGATAGTTACAGTTGGGATACATTTTGCAGCTCATTTGGTCACTGCTTTGTTCTCTTTTAGATCCTGTGCCCTTCTTGAGGGACTCTAAAGAGTTCCAAATGGAGTTCCAGGTGGAGTTCCAGGTCACTCTCAGGCTTAGGAGGAATCCTCTGCAGGTCATGCCCAGCATGGTGGAACCAGTTGTGTTCCTGCTGTGCAAACAGTGACTTCCTCAAGGAGCTGAGAGCTGTTCTCTGGCCTGAGCACCCCTGGTCACACTGAAGTTCAAGAGAGCAGTGAGTGACTCCCAGACCTCAGCTCTGGAGAGCCCAAGGCAAGATTAGAGGTCTAGCAGATGAAAAGGGAGTAAGCTTGGGGAGGTGAGGTGCATTGACAGGGATGTTTTGCTGGGGGAGCATCCTGCTGTTTCCAGCTCTGTGTCTGTCATCTCGAGTCACCTTCCTGCTTGCTCTCAGCTGCTGTTCTCATCACAGGGAGCAGTATCAAACAGGGCCTGGGGCAAGAGCATCTTTAGGTTGATTATCAGTGCTCACCAGCCAAGGGACTGGGTCAACATCTACCCCTCCCTGTAGAAGAACAAGACATCCTGACCATGGTGGGAGGAAGACCATGGTGTGAAGAGGACCTGGGTCTACAAGTCCTTGCCAAAGAGCCAAGCAGGTTCCCAGAGATCATGAGGCACTGAGCCAGGGCTCCTCTGCAAGAATGTAAGCTCCATGTGAACAAAGACACCGGGTAATTAGAGAGGTAATTAGTTTGGTAATTACTAAGGTAATTAGTTTGATTCTCTCTCAAGCCAGTAACTGCTGGGAAGAGAAGCTCAGCCTTAGTGCTGGAGGGAGCACCTTGGATCTGGTGCTGCAGCAGCCCCTTGCTGGGTTAACCCTTTACCCTCCTGGATAGGAAGCAGCATCTGACATAGCTCAGAATGGGATGGTTTGGAGGAAAAAACAACCCGAACAGCCCTGTTTATAGAGGTCTTGTGCCCAAAAACTTCTGAGCCACCTTCTGATGACATGAAGTGCTTGTGCCAGAGTCAGGGATGACCTAAGGCAGCAGATTGCCCAGCAGTGATTTGCTGTTTGCTGCAAAGGTTTTACAGACCCTTCAGGCTGCTGAGGACACCTTTTGGGTGGGGACACTGCTTGGGTCACCATTTGGAAGTGTCATTGCTGCCCTTGGGAGATGAGGGTTGATCCCACACATCCCTTCACCCGTGAGCTGCACTGCTGGCTCAACAGAGCCATGTCACAGAAACATGGGATCATGGAATGTTTTGGGTTAGAAGAAACCTTAAAGCTCATCCAGTTCCACCCCCTGCTGTGGTCAGGGACACCTTCCACCCGCCCAAGTTGCTCCAAGCCCCATCCAATGTGGCCTGGAACCATTTCTACCAGCTTCGGGTGCAAATCAGCACCCGGAGATGAATTTTTTTCTGCTCATGTGTCACAAGAAATCAGAGTTATTTTCTGCCCACCCTACACAGGAAAACTCTCCCTCCTTCCTCTGCAGGTCCCGTGGGTGGATGGGGACAGAGCAGCTGTCCCCATGGTCCCTAAGTGAGGGCTGATGATCACACTGCAAGAGCTCATTTGGGAGGAACTGCAAGAAGCAGATCGAATCCCCAAGTAAATTGCAAGCTAAGCAGGTTCTAATTCATGTTCATCTGTTGCTGCTATAGAAATAGCAGGGCTGGGAGGGACTTGGCACATACTGGAGTCCACTATTCCATAAAACCTGATAGCCAGAAATTCTCACATCCCTTGAACCAGCTCATCTCCTTGCAGTGTTGTTCACAGGTTTATTTGGTTGTGGGATAGGGATTAGATCTGCAAAGGGTTCAGTGGGTGAAGGATAGAGGGGACAAGGAGATGAGTTAATAGACAGGAACCACTTTTCCTAGGCATGAGGATTTACTGGGTCTCTCCCCTATTTCTTCTGTCAGGTACCGAGGATTTTTCCTCCTCTCAGTTTTAATGTTATTAGTACTTGGGCTGTTTTGAAAAGGTCAAAGTCAGCTTGAATGTCTTCTGATCTGACTCTCTTAAACAGCAAGCAAACAAGAAATCTATGTTCCACCCTAGCTGCCTTTGAACAGCAGAGCCTGATGTGTTGTCCAGGTGTTTGCAGAGGTGAGTGAGGTCTGACAGAGCCACTGAGTGCTCATGGGCAGGGAAAGGCCTGGTGAGCTCTGGTTTTCTTAAGGTCCCACTCCTGGAGTCAGGTGGACTAACGAAAAACTTCTGCCTTTGCCTGGAAAAATTCCCATTTGCAGAGAGAAGTCTGTGATCAGGATCTCACTGCAGCTCCAGGAGCACAGAAGAGGAACAGAGCATGGATGTATTTGTGATTTTGCACTGAAGAAGCTGATCCTGGTGTTGTTAGCAGGAGCAGTGGGAAGTGCTGAGTGTGGGACACACAAGTGAGGCTGGAGCAGGTAGATGGGACACACTGATAGCAGGAAAACTCCTTTTTTAGCATCAAATGGGAGGGAAATCTCCCAGCTGCTGTTCCTTGGTCCCAGTGGAGGAGCAATTTGGGAATGTCCCAGCAAATATGAACCTGTGCTCTTTGTTCTTGCAGGTTGGGGGGAAACTGCTGGAGAGAGAGGAGGGGGGAGAGAGGCAGTGT